CTAGTTGGCACCATAAGCTTAACTATCACACCAGCCCAGTCCAACTCAAGTCCATAAGCCGGAGACGACTCCATAAGCACCTCTTCAGACTCACACAGTCTCAAGCAATGATGCAGGATGCAGGAAGATCACAGGCTGGTGGGCGTAAAGTCTTGTGGATCCAAGGTTGGTGGATACATGGCAGGGCTCTAGCACTTTTCCTGGTGGCCAGCACGCAGGATGGTGAAGGCAGAGAGAGAGAGAGAGAGAGAGAACAGCCTCCTGTTCACACTCCAAGTGGGATCATCAGGCTACACCTGACTGATAGGCTAAACTCCACCCCTACACTTTCATATATCTTCAAGTGAACATGGAATTGGGTCACTACTACAATGAGAATGGGGTTAAGCGATCTCCAGGCCCTTGACCTTGCTGGAACTAGTACCGATCCCCGGTATATGTTCCTTCTTTCCAGCTGAAGTGGTTTTCTGGCAGCTGGGAGTCCCTGAGTCCTGCACAGAGCTTTGAGGGCGTGGAGGGAAAGGCGATGGTGCGGTTGTTGGAACCTTCAGGGTGAATGCCAAGGGCAGTGCCTTGGAGCCTTCAGCAAAGAGTCCACGCCTCTTTGGACGAAGGGAATCACTGGCAAAAAAGGTAGGGCTAGACCCGGCCCCAGAGGATGTCTAGAAGGCCCTGACCCGCAGGGGCATCTACACGAAATTGCCAGGACAGAGGCCATGGAAGTGCTTACTCTTGGGGAGGCCCAGAGAGAACTCTGAATATTTCCCTTAATTGAGAAAAAGTAGAAACCCTGCCATTCCCAGGGGAGAAAGGCCATCCAAATCGGCTCTCTCCAAGGGTCATTGCAATGGGCGCTGGGGCAGGGCCAGCTGGGACAAGGTCACTTCACCCACAGATGGATCTCGAAGGGTCAATTCTTGCTGGAAGGAAGAGGTGGGACAATATGGCATTGAAAGCACATTCTGGGTACTTCACAATCAAGAAGGCAGAGTTTAGTAGCCCCAAGTGGAAAACAGCCCAAATGTTCCTGGAAGACTGGATAAGCCAAAGGGGTCCACCTATAAAAAGGGGAGGCCCGTGCTTGTTACAATGTGGATGAAACTCCAATACAGCACGCTCGGTGACAGGAGCCAGGCATAAAGTGTCACGTGGTGTATGAGAGGTATGACACATTGGTCTTCTAACCTCAAGTCAGCAGTTCGAAACTCTTTGGGAGAGCAGTGCAGTTTTCTACTCCTGTAAAGAGTCATTGCCTTGGAAACCCACAGAAGCCATTTTCCCCATCCAATGGGGTTGCAAAGAGTTGGAATTGACTGGAGGGCAATGCGTGTGGGGTTTGGGGTTATGGGGAGAGGAGGAAATGGGCAGAAAGGACTAACGGTACAGGGGTTCCTCTCTGGCAGATGAAAGTGTGGGCCTCCAGAAGACCAAGACGGCCCCCAACTTCGGGGATCACAAGAGGAGGTCCCGGATGGAGCAGGAGAAACATCAAAACCCTAAGAGAAACCAGGCTCACTGGTCAGAGACTTGTGGAACCCCGAGAGTCTGGCTCTTAATCCATCTGCAGGTCTGGAAGAGACCTCCCCTCCGTGGCTCAACTTTCAGCTCTATCGTAGACAGGTCTCTAAGGGGGTCAGTAACCCCAGGGAGGTACTCAGTCATTAGAGCCATCAAAGCCGAAAGACTCAAAGGGCAGCGTTTTCCAAGGGCTGAGGCTCAGAAGGCAGGAAGGGCTAGGAGAGGAGGAAGAAGGGAGATGGTCATAAGCCAACGAGGAAGTGGGGAGCGTGCGGTCACCCCGTGGAGACTGCGATTGATGTCACAAAACTCAGCGTCTATCAACTGTTGAATGAAAGGCCCGTGAGCTCAGTCTACTTTTACCAAAAGCACAATACGTTTTTAAAAATAATGAAGAAAACCTAACAGGTTTACCTACCAGGTAAACAGGAAAGAGAGAGAGAGAAATCAGCAGGAAGGCTGGGGCAGCACCACAGGAGAAGCCTACTGTGGGCTGCACCTGGGCCCTGGGGAGGCCGGGGCAGGGCGAGGAGTAGCCTCGGCTGTGCAGGCAGAGGGGACACGGGATCCATGACCCAACAGGGAGTCCAGGCAGAAAGCATCTGTGTGCACAAGAGGGCTGGATCCGGGACAGGCAGACAGACGCGTAAAGACATACATGCATGGCGAGACGGGCACACACATCAACACAGTCCTCAACAAAGCCCTTCCTGCTGTCAAGTTCATTCTGACTTTGAGCAACAGGATAGGACAGAACCTGTATGGTAGAACCCCCTCTGTGGGTTTCTGAGACTAACCTCATTTTTCAATCAAGGAGCGGCTGGTGGTTTTGAACTGCAGACCTTGCCCAGGGTCCCAGCCATATACAAAACCAGACACGCACACAGTGTCCTGCCACAAGAGACCTCATGCACACATGCACAGAGGCCTACGATGGCCACCAGCACAGAGCCAGGGCCAGGCCCCAGGAAGGAAGCTCCAGAAGCCCCACCGGAAGTCCAGCACAAGGGCCCGCCAGGGGAAAGTGAGACACAAACCACGGCCATTGCCCAATACCCCACCCTGCCCAGGCCGGGGTCAGGGAGGAGCCAGGGCCAGGCCTCGCGTGCCTACCCACACAGCCGTTGCCACCAGCAGCAGACACCCGGCCACAGACACAGACAGCTGGGATTGCAAGGGATCTTGCAAAATCACCGCCCCACGCCCCACTCTCTCAGGGTTCAGCTCAAGTGTCCCTTGTCCAGGAAACTCTCCAGGCTCCTGTGGGCAATGATCACTGCCACCAAGTTGATATCAACTCATAGCGGCCCTCGAGAATAAGGTAGAACTGCCGCTGTGGTTCACGCCGTGTGAGAGTAGAAAGACGGGTTAGCTGCCTTCTTATGCATTCTGGTTCTGTAGGCCCAAGGGCGGGGCCACGGGCCAGTCCCTGCTCCTCTGCAGGGCTTCCACCCGAGTAAGTGGGTAGTAAAGTGGGTGTCGAATAAGGGAAGTAAGAGAGCGCAATGCTCCCACGTTTAGATGAGGCCACCGGCTGAATGAGGTAACTGAGTTCACGCAGCGGTGAGCGGCAGACAAGGCTGTGGTCTGGTCTGCTCAGCCCCTTCCCACCAGGCGGGGAGGAGCATCAGATGGTGTGACCGGTTCACCCACCTCTACATGGTAAGAGTCAGAGAAGCCACACAGTCACTCACTTTCATGACTACGGTATGCCTGACCCAAGCCACACATGCAGGTGAAAGTCGGTCCGTGCGTAAGAAAGACCAGAGAAGTGGTGCAGTTGAATTGTAAATTGTGGCGTTGGTGGAGAAGACGGACAAGTGCTATGGACTGCCGAAAGATCCAGAGCCTCGGACTTGGGTGAGGTGCAGCTAGAATGCTCCTCGGTGGCAAGGATGGTGAGACTTTGTCTCACGAGGTGTGGACCTGGTATTGGGAGGGACTGGTCCCTGGAGAACACCATGCTTGGGAGAGAGTCTGTGAAAGAGGAACCCTCTCAGAAAGATTGACACACTGGCTGCGACAATGGGCAGTGGTTAGTTCTGGGGACCCTGTGCGTGGGCATTGGCTCCAGTTTCTCTGAGGACTTTCGAATCTCCCAGGTCCTGTGTCCCTGACCCCCGGTGGGCCTCTGGGTCTCCTCATCTGTAACCTGCTGAAGGGCCAGGGCTGACCCAGTGGTTTCCCCAGACCACATACACACATGCTTAGACATGGCAGACAGACGTGGACGGCTGGCTGCTAGGATTGGGACTGAGCCACACCAGCTCACTGGGGTGTGTCTGTGGTACCCCATCTGGGCCAGCCTGTGGGCAGCCCCACGAACCAGCCAAGACCAGGTCAGACCTGGTTTGAGAGGCATGGCCTCAGCCGGAGGATGACAGCCACCCAGACAGTGACTCGCAGGCTGCCGAGCGTCTGGACAGCCTCATGTCTGAACCGGGAGACTCCTTCCTGCACCAGATCCTGCCTTCCCCCATCCAGGCCCGACACAACCCAGGTGGGGACCCTAGCCAAGAGTTCCTCGCCCCCTTCGATTGGCTCCAGGGAAACGCCCCCTCCACAGGGTCCTGACAGAGCGCATGGGAAAAGTGGGGCCAAAAGGAAGGGGCTGGTCCCCCGGCCCTCCCCCACTGACTCACCGGGGCCAGGCTGTGCTCAGAGCTCCCATGATCTGCAGCCTGATGCCCAGGCCCCAGTCCTGGGGGTGGCAGGCCGGCAGGCGTATTGCCAGAGGCCTGGCCCTGCTGAGGCTTTTCCGGGGAGCCACCTCAACCGCGAGTACGCCGAAGTCACACCCTTTCTCCCTGCCCCAGTACGGGCGGGTCTGGGCTGAGGGCACCTGATAACCTCCCTGTCTGTGGGGCCCTCTCAGGCCACAGTTGAACCCCAGCCCCTCCATTGGCAAGAAACTCAGCCAAGTGGGCTTGAAGGACCTCTAGGCCCTTTTTTTCTGTGCTCCTAGCCGGCCATCTTAGCTGGGCATCTTAGCCCCAGGTAGACTCCCAGTTACCTGGCCCTCTGCTTAGCCACCTCTTCCCACGACTCTAACAGGGCCACTGTTAGTCCAGGACAGGCAGAGCTTGGGCGCCGGGTCAAGAGAAAGCAGGCATCGGCTGGCAGGAAGTGCTCCTTCAGCAGATTGCACCTCCTCCAGGGGCTGGGATGGGAAACAGCGGCCCCTCAAGCAGAAGTCTGGGAGCCCTGGTCACCTTGAGAACCTTCTGGGTTATTCTGAAGGTAGCAAGGCAGGCAAGCCCCAGGCTTCGAAAGCTGACAGCTCTGGACTGGACTCCTGGTCGCTGTGACCCTGGGCTGGCACCTCACCTCACCAGACAATGTCAGCAATGCAGGCACCGCTCAGGAGTATGCTGAGGCCAGGCAGCCCCCCAGGGCCACCAATGGGTGTGCAGGGACCCCAAGGAGGAGCTGTGGCCCAGACTCAGGCCCAGGCGGCCCCCAAGAACTACAGCCCAACCAAGTCTCTACAAAGTCTTTTATTAATAAATCGGTATAAAAGGAGAAAGGAAGAGATGCAAAAATACCTTTCTTAGAGGCCCCAGAGGGCGGCACTGTCAGAACTTGTCTGGCTGGGCAGAGCCACCTGGCCAACAGCAGAACGCAGATCAGGGCCTCTGTCTAAGACACAGTGACCTGTGGGGGTCTGGGGGGTGGGGGTGGGCTCGAGCCTCAGGCAGGAAGTGTGCAAACGCCGAGGCGTGCAGTGATGGGGCGGGGGCTTCCGGGTGGAGCCCCCCAGCACCATGTTCCCCCATGTGGGCAGATACAGTCAGGCCAGCACCTGCCCAGTGTGCGGGTGCACACGTAATGTCCACATGCGAGCCGGTGCCCACAAGCAGCTTACATACAGAGTGGGAGTGGGGTACAGTCCCAGGGCTGGAGGAAACCGCTGAGACAATTGACACGCCCAGAAGCCTGGGGCAAGTGGAGAGCGCGCTCCCTCTGGGCTCAGGAGCCCGGGGCCTCCTGGCGTCGCTGGAGTAACTCTATGACACTGCCAATCCCATCCTCAGGCACCTGTGGGCAGGGGGTGGGGTCATGGCAGGGCTGGCGGGACCAGGGACCCCAGCCCGCCCTCCCCTCCCAGCCCCGCCCCGGCTCTCACCAGAGCGTGGTCGAAGTTGAAGGTGCTGATGTAATAGGCAGAGATGTCCGCCGCAGCCAGGGGCGCCGCAATTTGGGCCACGATCCCACACTCGTCTGTAGGTGGAGGAGGGGCACCGGTGAGCCTCCTGCGCCTCCCGCCCCCCACCCACCCTCGTAGGGCCTGCCAAGCCCCCAGAGCAGCCCTCACCGAATCCCAGCGGCTGTCCGCCAATCCGCACCATCCTCCACAGCTCCCCCGAGGAGCTGGTCAGTAAAAGGTCGCTGGGGAATCTGGGGGGTGGGGTGGAGGGTACGCAACAGGTGGTGGGCAGGGCACCCCCAACCCTGGGTGCACAGTGGGTCCCCAGGGTGGGCAGCCTGCGGGGTGGGGGTGGGGGCTCCAAGCTGACTTGTCTTCCTCTCTACCGGGGTGGGAGTTGGGGGGAGGTGGGGCGCTGGCTAAGGGCCCAGGGTGGGGAGGGGTGGGCGGGAGTGAGCAGTCACATACTTTTTCTGCATCTCGGCGTCCATGACGATGGAGATATAGCCCTCAATGAGGGAGAAGGCAAAAAACGGGATGGAGTTGGCCTCGGGGCCTTCTGAGGCAGCCTCCTTGGGAGCACTGGGGGTGGGAGAGGGGGAGGGCAGGGGCTCAGAACTCTGCCTGGCACCCGGGCCCAGCTCATCTCCCCCACAGTGCCCTCCAGACCCTAAGGCAGAACTGGCCCTCCCGCCTCAAAAACAATGTTCCCTGATTCTTGCTGGTACAAATGGGGTGTGGGCTGTTATGCCCAAGACACAGGACCAGGGAGCAGGAGGTCTGGGGGGGTCTGACTGGGGTGGGTCTGCTCACACTGGGTGGAGGCAGGCAGTGGGGGCGTGTAGGACACACAGAACTGCAGGACAGACAGGCGGGCAGGTGGGAGGTAGTAGATCGTGGCCTGGGGGCAATAGACCCGGGCCCACCTATGTGAGTAGAAGAGGACATCTATGAGCGTGGTGGCAATGGCTGGCAGCGTCTCAGGGTCCAGGGTGAGGACACAGAAGCGATTCTGGGGGCTCTGGATCGGATGCACGTTGGGGCTGGGCCCTGCTCCGGAGGGACAGGGCCGACTGGTAAGCAGGCAGCCGTGGGCTGGGCCTCCCCCTGGTGGCCAGTAAGGGAAGCGCCTGGGCTCCCACTCTCCAGGAACTGGGTGGGGGTGGGTGGGAGTGGGGGTGTTATGTGTCTTGGGGCCCTGTCTCCCCGCGCCCACAGACCTGCCCGTAAGAGGAGAGGGAAGTGGAGACCTGCCCGAGAGTGAGTGTCAGGGGACAGAGCTCACCATGCTGCGCCCGGGGAAAGCCGTTGCTAGACTCATCCCCGGCAACAGGCACAGGCTCCCCACCCACATCACGGTAAATGTCGAACTCCTGGGCCAGTGTGTGGATCACCACAGACAGGTCCTGTTCTCGCACCTGGCCACAAGGAGATGGCACATCACGCGGGTGCCCAGGCACCTGGGCCTACCCACCCTGCCCACGCACCTGCAGAACACTGACCAGGATGAAGTCCGTCTGGTAGGTAGACAGCATCAGCACAGACACGTGGTGCTCGGCCAGCGGCGTGATGACTGAACGCGCGATCTTCGTGACCCCAGCGGCCTGCACCGCCGTGGCCGTGCCACTGTGAGAGGACACGTTCAGCACCAGCCATGTGGCCTCAGCCACTTGCAGGAATTCAGAGGCAGGCAGCTCTGGGGGCAGAGGTGGGAGGGGTCACACACATGCCCATTCAGGGTGCACAGAGCTGGCCCCTGTCCTCTGAGCCTCAGTTTCCCTGTCCACACCTGGAGGGCCCTGTGAAGGTACTGGCAGGTCTGGGGACCGAGGCTGCCACTCCTACGCCAGGTTTCCCCTTAAGATCTACGTGTACTCCCAGCCTACGGCAGCGCCGGCTAAGGACTCATCTCACTGGCACTATTTGCTGTGCACCCGGACTATTTCCTCAACCGTGAAGTAACACCAAGGTGGCTTAGTGGGTTACACATGGAGCTGCTAAGCAAAATATCTGTGGTTTGAACCCACCAGTCGCTTCTTAGGAGAAAGATGCGGCTGTCTGTTTGCGGAAGGATTTAAAGTCTCAGAAAGCTAAAGGGCTTGGCATGAGTCTGTCCTCTACAAGGGTTACAATTGACTGGATGGCAGTGGATTGAGCTTTTTGGCTTTATCCTGCAGGATGTTCTGAGGGTAAACAGGCCTTGTTCCATTTGTCACCACCAAGGGGCGCCAGCACATCAAGCTTACTGGGGAGGCTCTTCACTGCCAGCCCGGACTACCAGGGAAACTAAAGCCTGAAGCTGAGCAGAGGAGGATGGGCCAAGCATCGGTTGGCGGACCTGAGATTCCAGGCCTGGAGGATGGGCAAGGCTGGCAAGAATAGGAGGCAGCCTTCAACTCCAGAGCCCAGGGAGGGAACAGGCCGCTGTCCAGTCCAGAACATGGGCCGGTCTTGGGTGACTGACTGCTGATTACCCAGCACAGACGGGAGGCACCTTAGGACCCCGCCTTGCCTTGGATGGCTGCCTGCCCCCGCATTCTTTCTCCAACCCTCCAAGTCCTGGCATCCCCAGGCCAGCAGGGGAGGGTGTAACCAGCACCAGGGGAGAAAAGTCCAAGGGGAGTAGCAACCAAAGGTTTATAGCAGCTGCAGGAACCCCCTCATGCAAAGCTGGGTGGCTAAGATCTCCTGTGAATCCTAGCCATTTCACATAAGAGGAACTAGGCTCAGAGAGGGCAAGTGACTAGCTCAAGGGCACACAGCCAGAACGCAGAGCCATCTGCCTTCAAGGCTCAGTGAGTCCCTCCCCGTGCTCCCACTTCCCAGCCCGGTTCCCACCTTTGAAGCCCTCCTCGTCCACCATGAGCGTGTAATCCTCGGGGGTCTCCGTTATGCTGAAGAACTTACACCTGGTTGGGGAGGAGGGCAACCTTCAGCGTGGCACGGAGAGCTCCATTGGCCTGACGGGTCCTTCCTTTCCGTCGGGTGGTCTGGGGCTGGGCTCTCCTCCAGCGTCAGTTTCCTTCCCGGAGCAGGGGATGCGGGGCGCAAGATTTTGCTGCCCAGCGGCGATCTCCTCAAACCCCTCCGCGGCTTCTTCACTCACCCCTTCCCATTCCAGCAGATAGCTCCCGGGGCTTCGGGCCTTGGATCCCCAGGCAGAGCTCTTAGGCCAGACGTGGGCGCCTGGAAGCTCCCCGCAGCCGCCACGAAGGAATGCCCCCACCTGACACCACTTGGAGCTAAGCAGCTCCCCGACTGGCGCTGGGACCTGGGCCTCGCGGGCCGGATAAGCGGCGGTCCCGGAGAGAGAGGACTTAGACTGGGTGGTAGCCGGAGGAGCGTCCTCCTCACCCGCTCCCGCCGGCCCCGCGGTGACCCGAACACCCCCAGCTCTAGCCCAAAGGGACAGTGGGGCCCCGCAACCCCATCTGAACCCCCAAGCCCGGGAGCGCACCGGCTGCGGCGGGGCAGGAAGAGCAGCTTGATGAGCGGGTGAGTGTAGAGCCAAAGGCCGGGACGCGCGAGGCTCAGCACCCGCACCCGGTGCTCTAGGATGTGCAGCTCCATCGCGTGTAGGCCCGCGCGGAGCGGACCCCGCCGTCGACCAGACTCAGGCCGCCCGGGGGCCGGGGCCGAGGTAAGGGAGATGCTGCGCGGACGCGCCCACGCTGCCCGCTACGCCGCGGTCTGGCCCCGCCCTGACCCGCCCCCGACGGGCACGCCCCGCAGGCCGAGTCCTATCCGCAGTGGCCACGCCTACCCCGAGGGCCTGGACTTCACCTTGCTGCTTCCGTACTTGGGCCGGCTCCGCCCCTTTGGCTTGGCTCCTGGATCGCTGGCTGACCCCACCCCTCCACGTCCTCCAGGCCCCGCCCTTGCCGCGCCTCCTCGGGTTCAGGTCTTTCCGCCGACGCTGGCAGCGATGTTTTCTGCCAGTTTTTCTTATGCCCTTTGGGAACCCACGCGGGTCTTAAGGTTGAGGTCAAGGCGTTCGTAAGGGCCACGGGGCGAATTGGGGCTCGGCCGGAACCAGAGGGCCACCGTTAACCCCCCCACTTCGCTGGGCCAAGTTAGGGCAAGCGTCCAAAGAGCAGCACTGGCCCCTTTGAAAAACTACAAAGTGCCCAAAGCTCCAAACTCACGATCGAGTCCCCGTGGGTTTCTGAGACTAACTCTTTACGAGGGTAGAAAGCCTCATCTTTGTCTTTTTAAACTGCCGACCTTGGCAGAGCAACTATGCCACCGGGGCCACCTAAAGCGTACAGGGTACTAAAACCTACAGGCTGGCAAAACCTAGGTGGTCTGAGCACAGGCCCAAAGAGGCCCCCAGCAATAGCAGCCACCACAGACCTGAGGGTTCTCAGGTCTGAGACCCCCCAAACTGAGGAGGCTTCAGCAGCCTCAGCAGACCTGGCCTGCTCATCCTGACTGCAGATCTCAGCCAGCACTCTGGAGAATCCTAGAGACAGGAACCAAGAAGGGAAACGGGCCTCCTGCCGCCTCCCGAGCCTCCCTTCAGGCAGATGAATTGGAGTGAAGCCCTGGACTCCCCACATGCTGCCACACCTCTGCAGACCCCTGGAGGGCTGGGGACTGGGTGCTGCCCAAAAGTTGGGAAGCTCTCCTCATCAATGCAGGTGCAGATAGGTTGGGAAATCACAGGGGTGAGGCAGGAAGCGGGGACTGTGCCAATAGGCTCCCTAGGTCTCAGTATCCCTGACCGGACCAGGACAAGCCATCCCAGGCCCCTGCCTGCAAGCTCCCTGGGAGGCTCCCCCACCCCCACCAGGCCCAGCTTGGTTGACTGCCAGGAACAGCGGCTATTGTTTGACTAGAAAAGCTGCTTCCTCAGCAGAAGGGGGGGAGCCTCTGCCTGGGACACCCTGTCCTCGCCCTCACCAGGTTGTGACCACCACGCCTGCAGGCCCTCAATAGTCCTCAGATAGGCCTGGGGCCCCACGCTAAGAAAGGCAGCTGAGGGGCCCCGGGTGCACATGTGGTTCCTTCTCCAGGAGAATGGAGCCTCTGCTTCCCCATATGTAAACTGGGGATAACAGGCCAGGATAAAGGTGAGAAGCCGGGCCAGTGTGCTCAGTCAGTGGGAGGCAGCACTTTCTCAAGGCTGCAGACTTCTCCCCTGGGCCCTGACTCCGATGGTGGCCTGGACTAAGTGTGAGAACATTAATGGGCCAGAGTGAGCAATTCAGAACCACTGCTGATGTGGCATCCAGGCTGGGTCTGGAAAAAGACCCTGAAGCCACCACCTTAAGGTGATGGATAGGGACCAAGGCCTGAGAAGAGGCCCAGCTCTGCCTCAACCCTTGGTTCCTGCCTGGTGGTGCCCCCTTCTGCACATGTCCTCAGAAAGGCTCTGGTGCTGGGCTCCGGGCTATGCAGAGCATGGAAAAGAGATGCTGGGTCCCGAGGTGGCGCTCCTTTCCGGCCCCTAGCTGAACACCTGCTCTCTACACAAGGCTGTTTATTTCTGTACAAAACCACATTATATTACACAAAGAGTACCCCCCCACCCTTCAACCCACCCTCTTCTCCCACAAGTGCCCTAACCCTGGGAGCATCACCCCCCAGGAGGCCCTCAGTGCTGCCTGCCCTAGCGCCGGCCTGTGCTCCATTCTGGAGAAAATAAATAAGGAACCTCAGGCAGATTCTGCAAAGCCCGTCAAGCACCGGCCAGCACCCAGCCTTGAGAGGGGGTCGGCCCTGGAGTGTCTGTCTGTGAACCACAGAGGTGTGGAGAGACCCTGCCCGGAGGCCTCAACTGCCGGGGTTACAAGTAGGTGTCCTCGCTCTCCTGGGACGTCAGACTCTCCTGGGAGTGGTGGTGGACTGAGTCCTGGGGGGCTGGGTCCTTCGGGGTCATGTCCCGTGGTGGGCATGCATCTCCCGCAGCAGTGGCCACCTCAGCTGGGGCTGGGGCTGGGGCCTGGTCCGGTTGCTGGCTTGCCTTTGTCGCCTGCTTCTGCTGCTCCTTCTTTTGGGACTGTTTGGGAGGCTTGGGCTTGGCTTTGGAGCCAGGGAGCGGGGCGTCGGAGGGCAGGCGAATGGACGGTGATGGCTGCAGGGCCAGCCGGGGGCCAGGCTCGGCCTCCAAGATGGCCTTGGCACCGTGCAGCCGGGGCGAGGAGCAGCACTGCAGCTTGCCCCTCATCTCCTGCCAGCGCCGCAGCTGAATAAGATGCTCCCGCTCAATCTGGCGCTCTGTCACAGGCAGCTCCACCACCTGTAGGGTGGCAAGGGGCAGGTGGGCATGGGGAGCGGGGTTCCCCACCTTTACCAGCATCCTCCCTCCCTGGCCAGGAAGGATGGGGGGGTCTGTTCCCTACAATGGTCCTAAGGACCAGAGTTGTGCGCTTCAGAGAAAGATGGGCACAAGCCTTGAATCTTAACAGCAGGGAGGGAAGGAGAGAGGGAGGGGAAGGGTGGCCCACAGGGGCCCATCACTGGCCAGGGCAACTGGCCACTGAGGCCAGATCCTGCGCCATCCCTTTGTGACCCCTGTCCCTTGGGTGAAAGATGGGGTCATGCCAAGGCTGTGGCTGCTAGTTTGCTTTGTCCCACAGGGGGCCAGCCCTGCCCCGGCCTGACCCTGGCCTTACTCAGAGAGCTGCCACTGGTAACCAAGTAGACACAGAGTCACAGAGGAAAACTCATCTGGTGGCGGGATGTGAGGCAAGGAGGCAGAGGAGGCCTTATGGGCCAGTGGTTTCCTCTTCATTCGGAAGAGCCTTGTTTGGACAGAAGAGGATGTCCACCCACACCATCCTGGGGCCAACAGTTCCCAGGCCTCTCCAAAATGCCGACTGTGGGTGGCAAAGGGGAGGGGCTGCTGCGCACCTCCTGGACCAAGAAGGCCTCCCGCATGATCTTGGGGCTGAGGCTCCGCAGCCGTTCGATGGTTTCGTACTGGCCCTGGCAGGCCTTCAGCTTCTCGGGGGAACCCAGCGCATGCTTCAGCAGTACCAGCCCCACCCGGAAGATGATTTTGACACCTGCAAGGGGGAGGGCAGTGGGGCCCTTAGAGGGTTCCTCTGGAAACGGGTCCCGTGTGTGGGCTAGGGCGATATCCATCCCCCAGCCCCGGCTCAGCACCTTCACAGAAGAACATGTCCCAGACGCGCAGCACAGAGCTCCAGGGCAGGGTGCGGGCAAAGGCGCACATGAACCACTCGGTCATGTAGAGCAGCGGGTCGATCTTCTGCCGGCTCAGGTGCTTGTGGGCCACGGGGGATACCTTCTGAAGCAGCGAGAAAAGGATCTCCCCATCCAGCTGGATGGCCTCCTGCGGGCAGAGGCCATGCTCATGAGCAGGACCCACCCCAGGTTCCCCCACCCTACGGGCTGGCAGGCTTTCCTCCTTTGGAGTCTGCTGGCCGCCATGCTGGGAGCCAACCCTCTGCGAGATGCAGGGGATCCCTGCCAACACCCCAGTCCCCACCACAGGGCAGACAGACATGAGTCACAGGAGCAAAGGGACTTGAGGCTCAAGAGGATGGGGCCAAAAGTCCTGAACGCAGCAGGAAAGGGAATCAAGGCAAAGGATGAGGGAGCATGTGAGAGGGCCTCGTGCCAGGGGTCAAAGACAGCTTCCTGAGAGCTGGCGCTGAGGGGAAGGAGCTGGAGGAGCGGGAAGAGCGTACCAGGCACAGGAAGCACCCACGCCAAGGCCTACAGGCCGGAGGGCCTTGTTGCTCGGGCAGGACAGATGGAGCCGCTAGACTCACCAGTTTCTCGCTGTAGTAGCCAGGCAGGTACTTCTCACAGATCTGCACCAGGCACCAGAAGGCTTGCTGTGGGTGACATGGACACATAAGGCCCTGCTGCTGGTGGCTCGCCTTGCCTGCCCCCCCACACACACCCCCAGACCCAGGTCTGGCGCTACCTCTGCAGGCATGTGCATGAGCAGAACGGCTGCAATGGGCGCCTGGGCCTGGCAGTAGCCCTCCTCAGGCCGGTGCAATGTGTAGGCCTTCAGCACCCGGAATAGGTCCTGCTGGCTGGGGAGAGAGGGAACAGGGCACAGTGCAGGTGTGACCCCTTAGACACAAACCACACAAGTGACTACAAGCACTTCCCTAGACAGAGCCTCGGGGAGGGGTTGGGGGGGGTCTGAGGGCGGCGCCTCTCAAGGTGCGTGTATCCCTCCCTGCTCGTGGTTCCTAAGAGGGTCTGTCTCCTCTGCAGCACATGGACCCTCACTTGGCCAGAAGGGGTGGGGTGGGGGCACTGTAAGTGCAGGCCCCTTGTATGCAGTATGGCCCCTTGGCCAGGCCTGGTCTTGCCAGCTCTGGGCTAGCCTTGTCCCAGTTGTCTATCTTGGTCCTCTTGCCCCCCTCATCGCTCCCCTCCCACATAGCACCCAGCTCTCCAGCCACCCAACTCTAATTCTTTCTCTGTGACCCAAGCCTGTTCCCAGAAGAGGGCTAGGTGGAGTGAGCAGAAGCCCTCCAGACAGGAAACATGCCAGTTTCCCTGGAGGTAGGAGGTGAGCTAAGAGGACCCCTTAGACACAAACCACACAAGCGTGACACCAACAATGGTGGAGCTTGGGGCACCCCGTTTCTAGGTCCCCAAGAACACCCCCCCATTCTATTCACAAGGCCTAGCCTGCTCACCCATGGCCTCCTCGGGACACAAACATCTCGTGGAAAGGAAATTGCCGGTGAAGGTCACGCTCAATCACGTCCAGCCACTTGGGGTCCCCGGCCGACATGTCCAGCTCCTGAAAGCAAATGCAAGGCACATATTAGGGACCAGGCTAGGCTGGACGGCCCCTGTTGGCAAGATGAAGTTGTCCCAGGAACTGGAGGAGACCTAGAGCTGGGCCCATCCAATCATCTAATCCCAGTCCAGGTCCCAGCCACCCAGGGCAGAAGAGGCGCCCTGGTGCAGGCGCAAAGGGGCAAGACAAGAAGAGATTGGGAATCCAGGAGGGAGCCAGGCTTCAGGAAGGCCCACGGGAACAACACAAACAGGCTGGAAATCACATGGAAACACTTCGCTCAGGATGTAGGTAAATACATCCAAGGGGCTTTGCAAACGGTGGTAGAACATGGAATGAAAAGACGCTGGGCTCTTTGCACAGCCTTTAGGAAGCCCCTCAGTCATCACAGCCGTAGGGCAGAAGGCTACGTGCCAAAGCCAAGCTCCCACCTGTCACCACACCAGGCCTTCCCTGAACCCTCGCCTCAATGCCAGAAGATCCTGCGGGGCCAGGAAAAGTGGCTTGCCCAAGGGCCCAAGGCTATGAAAATGGTGGCGGCTGGGGCTGGAAGCCAGGCGTGCGCCCAAGCACCCGTGTGCCTCCTGTTACCACCTCTCAGTGCCAGTGCGAGACGGGTGCAGGAGGCTGGCATCCCCACTTCAATTCAGACCCATCCCTGGGGGCTGGGGTCTCAAGGAAGTTTTACTCTTTTTCTTTGAACTTCTATGTACATTTTAGCATAAGCACCATTCAAAACAAAACAAAAAACAAAAAAAACCGAAAGCACTATTACAAACAGAAAATCATTACATTTTAAATGTTTCAGATCTTGATTTGCGTGTTAGTTACATGGCGTTAAGCGTATTAAAACCCCCTGACGAGCACACTTCAAAAGATCAATAGATTCCACCTGGATGCGTTCATGTCCAGCCCAGACAGAGAGGGAGGGCCTGGAGCAGGGAGCAGGCAGGGTGAGGTGACAGCACGGCTGGGCAGTGCTGGAGGGCTGTGCCCAGGAGGGGACTTTGGACAAACCTCTTTCTCCTGTGTAGGGGTGTTCCAGTATAAAATCAAAGAAACCAAGGTGTCAGGCACTGACTAGAGAGAGAAGCTCTGGGCATAGCAAAAGCGTGTTCAAGGTTGAGGGGCACACAGCAGAGGAGGCTGGTACACAGCCTCAGGCCCCACACACCTTCAAGACTGGGGCCCGTGTTTACCCCTCAAATCTGGCCCAGGGTGGGTGTCTTAAGTACACAGCAGATTTGTTCTTGTTGTAAAGGGGAGAAGGACCTCCCATACACATTCTCCTGATGGTTCCCACGAGCTAGGGTCCTGAGAACCCAGTGCCAGGCCCTAGACCGTGTTCTCCGGGCATGTCAGTGGCCCACAGTGCAGGACCACTGACGGATCTGTGAGAAAGGAGAAGAGGCAGCCCAAAGGCCTGGGGAATAGGGTGGGGAGAAAGGTGAGTGGTGGGGGTAGTGGGGGCTGCTGGCAGAGGATACCTGGGGGCCTGCAGACTCAGTGAGAGCATAAGAGGAGCTGGTGCCACCCTGAGGTGACACCAGAATGAAAAATCAGGTAAAGGAAGAAAGGACAGGGAAGGGCCTGCTTGCCCTGCCCGGGGAAGGAACAAAGACGAACATGTGCCGGAGAGGGAGCCTCCAGCCACATGCCCGAGCCTCGCGGGCAGCCACCTGGCTCTGTTGTGTGAACAGAGAGCCTGGGGAGTTGGCTTAGGGACATGCACATGCTGGCACCACCAGCCCCCTCACGTGTCGCTACCCCTGGGCTCACATACCCACGGCAGTATCTCACCCTGCCTGGCCCTGCTGCCACCTCAGGGCCAAGTGCTGCTGCCCAATGGTTCTTGCCGTCACTGACACTGACAGGTAAAGTCCTTCTACCAGGTGTCTTCCAAATCTACTGTCCGGTTCCAGCCTGCTGTGGGGACTCACCACTGAGCATTCTTGCACATGCTACCTCCCATCTACAAGGCCTTTCTCAACAAACCAACTGAGTCACCCAGTAGTGTCCAGGACCCCACGGCAGTGGCCCATTTCTCTCTGCCACTGCACACACGGCTCTGCACTCTGCTCTCCCACTTAGGGTGGGCCACATTTGCTTGAGCTAAGCTGGCTCTCTTGTCCCTGCTAGACTCTCAGGCTGGTTCTCTGGCAGCCTGAAGGGCAGAAGACAGGGCCTGGGGTTCCAGACATCACTGGAGGAAGCGCCCCCTCCACCCCAGGCCACAGCTCCTTGAAATGAAAGGGACACAGCCACTCAGAGGAAAAGTCTGGAGTTGAGAGGCCACTCGGGGAGTCTAGCATTTGTGCTCTGAGGGACAACAGAGCCACCCTGATTGGGACCTGCCCTAGCATCACTCCATCCGCAGCTCTTTCCCTCTCCTGGTCAACAAACTCTAGGGCCTAGAGTCTAGGCCCCACTGCCATGCCCCTCCCTGCCCTGGCCAGCCAGGCCTGCCCCACCTCCACTTCTCAAAGAACAGATCTGGCAGGAAAAGAGCGTGCACTGAAGCACGAAGAGCTGGCAGCTCTGTCTCACTGTCTGCCTGTCACCAGCCCAAGGGCCTGGGAGAAGCCCTGGCCACTCTCACCAGTACACCCGCGCAACCCACAGTTCTCTCAGGGAACAGGCTGGAAGAGCTGCCTGGTCCAGGTGGGCACCAGAAGGCCTAGAATAGAGGAGAGGTTTACATTGGGGCAGGTGCAACAGACAGAGTGAGCTGGTGGACGTGGCTGCAGCAGCAGGAACCCTCACGGACCACTGACCTTGAAGGATGACTGTGGCCAGGATGCCTTCTTGATTACTTCTTGATAAAAAGCTCTTTCTTATACGGATCTGAGCATCACTGGATGTGTTTCTCTAAACAATCGGGCCCAACAGAGAGGAGAGGAGAGGAGAGGAAGGGGAACTCACGTCAAACTTCCCAGGATGCTGCTGGAGCTTCACCTTGCCTCCTGACAGGTACTGCCACGCCCGGCCTCGAAGAGAAGGCGGGATGCCCTTCTGGCACCTCAGGCGGATCTGGAAATCAAAAGGAGGGCTTGTGCTCATGCCCTGCCCACCCAGTTCCTCCAGAGACAGCAGGGCACCCCCAGCTAGTGTGTGCTGGGCCTCAGGGTGCAAGTCAGCAAGAGCAGAACAAGGGCTAAGAATGTTCCTACTACTGTAGGCTGCAGGTCCAAGGGATGAGGTAGGTGGTGTGGTGTGGTGTGCCTGCAAGTAGGCAAGCTGCCTCCAGGTACTGGCTGGGTCCCCTTGGTCCTGGTTCAGTGGCAACTGCCAGCCTTAATCCCCCATTTTAAAAATCCAAATGGAATCATGGGTGTCAGCATGGCTGTGGTACCCCAGGGAGAGACTGGCAGTGCTGCAGTCAGGGGAACTGGCTGAGGCAGAAGTGTGGGACTTGGGCAGGCTGGGGTGGGGTGTAAGGGTTAGAAGGCCAACCGAAAGGCCCAAACTCATTGCTATCGAGTTGAATTCCAACTCAGAGCCACCCCTAGGGCAGAGGAGAACTGTCCCACAGGTTTCCAAGGTTGTCAGTCTTGACTGAAGCAGACTGCACATCTCTTTCCCAGTGAGCATCTGATAGCTTCCAAACAGCAACTGTTGGTTCAGCAGGTGGGCCCGTAAGCACTGTGCCACCAGTGTATTTAAGGCCATCCGACAGAGGCACACCAATAGGCCTCCCTGGCATCCTGGGCCCAGCCCCATCCTCCCCAGCACTCACCGTCCTGTGGGAGTGAGGGGAGCAGGCAGGAGGCTCATGACCCAGAATGGCTGCACAGGGCCTGCTAGCTCTTCTTACAGAAGGCAGGCAGTGGCCTCAACACCCCAAGTGGAAGACCGCCAAGTCTTATAGATGTGGGGAAACTGAGGCAGAGGGTCGGAAAGTATGGCCTCCTGCTGGCACCTGAAATGCGGGTCTTTCACCCTGAGGTGTGCAACCGATTCCACAACTCCAAGTCCGAGGCAAAAGAGAGGTTATGGGGAAGGTGCACCCATGAGGAGCCAACAGCAGTGCGAAACAGACTGCCTTTGGGTGGCCTGTCTGAAAGCACGGCACAGATCATATGTTCCTTTGGCTTTGGAATGTACACTTTGGGAGTCACATACGGATGGTGTCTAGAAATCCAGGTTTCAGGGTAATTATGGGAAATAACTGCTGACCATGAACAAGCAAACAGAACAAACAATAAGGCTCCTTGGGTCTCAGGCCAGTCTCAGGATGTCTTCGTTGACTCACTAGCTTTTAATCACTAAAGGTCAGGTAAATAAGAGCAGACTCAGCATTACCTGGTCCTTTTAGATGACATCTGCATCCAAACGATCTCCTTTTGAGCAATGTAACGCGTTATAAAAATCCCACAGACTGCATTAAGTAGCGTACTCTTGGCTAACTGTATTGTGTAAAGGGTATTTCCCTAACATTAAATAACATAACTTGGGTTACACTACCTGCGCTCTCAGGCTGGTGGGATCCAGACCTGTATTTTCTTCCTTAATGACCTCTAAACACGGAAGGTGGGCCCTTCCCACCACCACTCCACCCATCCGGGCTTAGGGCTGCCTTGCCATCTTTGCTGATCTCAAAGTCAAAGGTCAAGGAGAGTGAGGGCAAGAACAAAAGTATCACGCCAATGTAATGTGGAGGGAGAGGTCGAGGCATTGGCCAAGGACGCACCCCCCCCCCACCCACACACACACCTGCTGTCCCCTGACCTGGCTTGAGATGAAGGGAAATGGGGAGCACAGGGAAGGGGGAAGAGTACAGGGCTGTGGGTTTGAATCCAGTGTTACCAAACAACAGCTGTGTTGACCAATCACATCTTAGCTGTACGACTGGGATGATAACACCTGTTTGATTGCTGCGAGGGCTCCATGGGAAAGAAAGAAGAAAAAGGGCCGATACTAGCTGTGGTGTGTGCTGAGGAAATGATGGTTTCGTCTCCACCTCAGTTCCTTGGCTGCCACAGAAGCCCGGGGCCTTAGGCTCTGCTGGAAAACCCCTCAAACAGTCTCTGCGGGAAGAGGAGGGGCACAAAGTCCTGGCTTTCCCGGTGACCAGAAAAGCAAGAGAAAACTTCCCAAGGGTCAGAGGGAGTCAAGACCCTGGAAAGAAGCAGCCAGGTCCAGGGTAGTGGGGGAAGGGCAGCTGCTGTGTCATGGAGGCAACCCTGGAAAGCCTCCAGAGGGAGGGAGCCGGCCGCCCCAGACCCAGGGAGCTTCCTGCTGCTGTGGGACCAGGGTCTTTCCTTCAGGAAGCCATTTCCTCAGGACAGGCCCTCCTCATCACCATCCAGGGGGAGCCTCAGAACACATTTAGTCAAGGAGGATCCTGACACAGCCATGCCCCACAGATGCCAGGGCTCAGAGAGGCTCCTCCGAGCCCCGACTCGGAGAGGCATAGTATCCTCTCTAGTATCCCCCTCCACCACCTGTGGTTCAGGATTCAGGAGAGCTACCAGGCCTGTCCAAGGGAGGGAGTGGGAGCGGCCCTGAGGATCAGAAGGGATAAGAATGAGAAAGTGCCCAGGCAAGCAGAAAGTCAAGGGATTACCATCCTCTGGGTCTGGGTGTGGGCAAGCGGCTGAGTGAGGCCGCACCCTTGCCTGCTGGGTTGGGGCAGAGCTCCAGGGGAAGACAGCATTTTAGGCCCAGCTGGCCTGGCCTTCTTCTGGGGCCCTGGGATGAGTCCAGGAGAAGGCTTGGGTCTGGGCCCATTTCCTGAGACAGGTATTGCCCTTCCTGAACAAACAAAGAGAGGGCCCAAGAGTTCCCAGGGCCTGCCAGTGTGGCTGCAGGGAAGGCGGCAGCAGCAGTGGTGCCCTGCAGTAGCCGGGCTTTGGAGGGAGCAGAGGGCTTGGGCCTCTGGGTGGGGTGGGGAGCAGCACCCCTGTGGTTCTGCTGGGCAGGGCAACCCTCAGGCTCTCACCACAGGGCAGGGAAGCGAAAGGAAAGAGGAAGTGCTGCTGGCAGCTCTGCTGAAAGCTTCCAGGGCTCCCCTCTGGAATCTGTGTGCAAAGAAACCTGGGGTGAGGTCAGAGCCATACATCCCTGCAGGTCCCCACAAGAGACAGCTGTGGAGTAAGCCTGAGGGTGAGGAGGCAGGAGAGCACCCCCCCGCCCCCCCTGTGTCAGACAGGAAACAGTTGAGGAAAGCTCAGAAGAACAAGAGAAAGGTTTTCTAATAAACCAAGATGGACACTGAGGGCCCCGAAGCAGAGAACAGCCACAGGGGGGCCCAAGCTAGGGCCTTGCTTCTCCTTGGCACTTCAGTCACTACCTCTCTGGAGCCATGCAGCAGGATTCTCTCTCCTACTCAACAAGGGAAACCGAGGCTGAGCCAGGAAGTGACTTGCCCAGAGTCACACAGCTAGCTCTGGAGGAGAAGAGAGGAAGGGAGTAGAGCTGGCTCACCTTACATCTGGCTGGTGGCCCGTGCTTTCAGCCAGGCCCTGACGCCAGAAGAGACCCGCATTTTCACAATGTGAGTGATTAGGAACAATGACTGGGATGGAAAAAACTGGAGCCCCGACTCGGAGAGGCATAGTGAGCCTTTTCAAGAGCCTGAGGCGGGAGATGGAAGCCACGCACATTTGACATTTGAATCCTCGTGGCCAGTCACCAACTTTGAACTAGATCCCAATGCTGCCCACTCTGTGGGCCAGAGACTTGGTTGCCAGGCAACAGGTATGCTTCCCCCAGAGGCGGCAGACGTAATTTTTCCCGTTCCAATTATCACTCCAGTTCACCCAAACTTTAAAAACTAAGTCTGTTCTGGTGTCACTCCTTGCCCATGGTTGGGCCAGGCTGGTGAGACTAATGGGTCAGCTGACAATAAGGGGAAACAGAATTCTAAGCTAGGAGTCTCTAGACAGGCCTTGTCCAGCCAGCTCGAGCTCCTCAGAGGGCAGCCAAGACCAGTGGTGGGCTAGGAAGCTATCTATGTTCAGGGGACATGTAGGACTAGTGTCTAGAGACCAGACCAAATCAAAATCACTACCATCAAATGAATGCCAACTCACAGAGAACCTATAGGACAGGGCAGAACTAAGTCTGTGGGTTTCTGAGACGGTGAATCTTTACCGAAGTAGAAAGCCTCATCTTTCCCCTGTGGCATGGCTGATGGTTTCAAACTGCTGACCTTGCCTTTAGCAGCCCAATTTGTAACCCACTGTGCCATCAGGGTATCTTTCCTACAGACAGGCAGAATCTTTATAAGATGATGATGTTCAACATGTATCAGCTAACACTGGCCCAAAACAGGCCACCCTGACTTAAGGATTTCTCCCAAGAGAGCTGGAGGAAAACAGTCCATGAGGGCTTTGGGCTAAAAATAACTTTGAAACCTGGCTCTCGGATAAAGTTCTGAGTGCATCTAAAGTCATCTGTGGGGTCTGAATGAAGGCTAGGCCCTCCAGCCACTTTCTGGCCCCCCTTTCGGAGGGCTGATGGGGGCACACCTGTGGCAGTCTGGCTGCTGGAGAAGTCCCTGCTCCTCCGAACTGATGAGGTGCCCTCGCTTGCTTCCATCTCCCCAGGCCCAGGCTGCTCACCTTTTTGTGCTTCTTGGCCATCCATTTGTCCCAGTTGTTGAGCATATCCAGCCACTTGGACTCCCTCTGCCTCAGGACCTCCAGGGGGACTTCCTCCAGCCTGTGGAGCAGAGGGCAGGGCCCATCAGAGGTGCCAAGAAAAGCAAAGGCCCTGGCTTGGGCCCTGGCCACCAGCCTGGTTGGGCCACCATTCTTCTCTCTGTTCCTCCACCCACGCCATTCCCTTGGAAGCTGCTAGTTCATCAAGTCCCTCAAGTCGAGAAGCACTGAATGCTGGCCAAGCCAGGAAGGTACAAGCCGGAAAACCACTGGGTTCAAGCACCCATGGCCCCAATGTGCCAAGGGCCAGGCCTCACCATGTCTCTCGGGGGCAGAAGCCTGTGCATACCTGTCCTGGGTTGGACTCGGTAAAAAAGCCTCATCAGAGAGCCTGTGTGCAAGGTGCAGCAGGATCGGGCACAAAAACCAGTCAAACAAGCAGACAAGTAACATGCTCACCTCTCATTCTAGAAAAGCTAGTCACTCACAGTTTCCCCAGCTAAGCCCTGGCCCTTTCCCACCTCTGAACTTTTCCTCACGCCAGGCCCTTTGCTGGAATGTTCTCCAGGCTGTCTGCATCTATCAAAATCCTACACACACTTCAAAGCCCTGCCAAACGCTCCCTTTTTGTCTTCATTCAACATCTACTGTCATGTGCCATGCATTGTCCTAGGGCCAGGGTCTCAGAAGGGCTGTGGAGAAGCACCCAGGGACAAGAACAAATTCCCTGCCCTCATGGAGTTGCCATTCTAGTGGGTGCTTACTGAGGGAGGAGGGGTAACAGGACAGGGGACAGGACACTTCAGCATCCAGACCCATCCAGGCAGGCCGAGCAGCACCAACTCAGACTGAGGTGGAACTCAGAGGGGGGCGCGGGGCCATGGGAGCAGGTATCCAGGGAGTAGGTTTCCTTCAAGGGTTGAGTCTCTGGGAACCCATGGGTTCACATACTAACTGGGCAAAATGGAGAGGGAAGCTGAGCATGCAACTTGTGTTTTCTTTTTTAGACTATAGAACAATGTCAGTTAAAAAAAATGCATGTATGTGTGTGTCTCTACACACATATTCACACACTCAAAACTATTCTAAAATAGTAGATTATGAATCTTTAAAACTTTTTCTTATGCTTACAGATTTATTTTTTCAATTAAAAATCCTTGACAAAAATGGGTACATAAGCAAATGTGAAGAAAGCTGATGGGAGCCCCACTATTCAAAGATATAGCATCTGGGGTCTTAAAGGATTGAGATTAAACAAGTGGCCATCTAGCAGGGAAACATCAAAGCCCACATGGAAGAAGCACACCAGCCTGTGTGATCCCGAAGTGTCAACAGGATCAGGTATCAGGCATCAGAAGACCCAAAACAATCATATCAAAGCGAACGAAGGAGGTCAGAGTGCAGATCCAAAGCCCATCTGTAGACAATTGGACATCCCCTCACAAAGCGTCACAAGGAAGGGACGAGCCAGCCAGGGTGCAGTACAGCACGGATGAAATACACAACATTCCTCTAGTTCTTTAATGCTTCCTCCGCACCCACTATCTTGACCCCAGTTCCACCCCACAAATCTGGCTAGAACGGAGCATGTACTGATACACAGAAGAGCTCTAGACACATGAAATCCAGGACAGGTAAACCCCCCAGGAACAATAATGGGAGTAGCAATACCAAGAGAGTAGGGGGAAGGTGGGGGGCTTAGAAAAGGGGAAAGATCACAATGATGATGTATAACAACTCACACACACACACACACACACACACACACACAGGAAGACGAATAACAGAAACATGGGTGAAGGGAGGCAGCAGGCAGTGTAAGATATGAAACTAATAATAATTTACAATTAATTCATCAAGGGGTCATGAAGTTGGGAAGGAGGGAAAAAAGGAGCTGATACCAAGGGCTCAAGTAGAAAGAAAATGTTTTCAAAATGATGATGGCATATGTACATATTGTACATATGTACAAACATGCTTGATACAATTGATATATGGATTGTTATAAGAGCTGTAAGGAGCCCCAATAAAATGATTAATTTTTTTATAATCCTTGACAAAATGAAATTATTAATGATATGGAAACAGAAGCTCAGAAGGGCAAAGTGAGGGCTAGGGAGGGGACCTTGCTCACAGCCAATCAGCAAATTAGTGGAAAAACCCAAACTAAGGGCAGGGTCTAGCCAAGAGCTGGCACAGGGGTTTGGACATCCCAGGGGCATCCAGAGCAGGCGGCACTCAAGGCAGCTGGAGGAGAGGAGGAGCTCGGTAACAGGACGTGGTGCCTCGGGAGGGCTGGGTTCAGGGCCTGTTCTCTCCAGGCCGGAAGGAAACTTGTTGCTTTGACTTTTGCTGGTTCGAAGAGCCCAGGGAGGGGCCCTGGCAACACCCCTAGGCCTCAGAGACACAAAAGGAGGGCAGGTCCTCTGCCTTCAGGGAGGGTTTATCTGGGGAACTGCATAGCCTAAGAGCAGCCTTAAAGTATCTACAGCCTGGGACAAGCGGCCCCCTTGACACAAACCACTAGCCTCTAGAACACTAGCCTCTAGCCTGCTGCCCCGGGACAACCTAGAAGCAGAACTGGGACCAAAGCTACTCCCCTAGTTACCCCCTACTCCAATCCTCCCCCGCCCCCATGCTGGTGGAAGAAGAAAGAACAGGGCCCAAGCCTTAAGCCTTTTGGGTCAGGTACTATACAAATAGACACACACATTTCCAGGCAACACCCAAACATGCAGAAAGCGGAAACCAAAGGCCCACGCATCCCAGGCCATGCTGCCTCCCACCACCTACAAAACTCTGGCTTATACAACAAGCCAGAGGACGAGCTTTTGAGTTAACGAAGTGAAAGGGGTGCTCACACAGGAAGTTCTAGCCATTGTAATAGTAGATAACATCTGATCCAATCCAATGAACAGACAAGAAAACTGAGGCCTGGTGGAGGGGAAGGCTGGGATTACCAATTTCCAAAGAATTCACGTGTGATTAAGTAAGTGCCCACTGACAACTCCACAGATAGGCTCTGTGGATAAGATCTGGCCAAGGGCCTTAGAGATACCCATTTTCCCAAACGCAGATGCCCACAGAAGCGGGTTACACGGAAGTGTGCTTTTAACTGATGCCAGATAACAGCTCTGGCAGTTTCAAAGCACTGACTTCAAACCTCAAACCGGAATTTCAGTATGGTACAAAACAAACTGCCATATTTCCTGGATTCTGACACCACTGATTTGGCTACACTGATTTGGCGAAAACCATCTCAGAAGCCAACAAAATCCCACCACCACTACTTTAAATGTGCATGTCAAGTGAAAGCTCCATTTTGATTTTCAAAACCTTCCACTGAGAAATTTTTGAGGAAATATGGCCGTTTGATTGGCTTCTCTCCCAACAACAGAGGAGCCTGAGGGAGTCTCCACAACCAAGAGTCTAATGAAAACCTTCTTTAGTAGCCTGTTTGCTTAGCTACCTCCAGGGTGGGGCCTAATTACCATCAGGTGAAGCCACCTACTGTTGGACGTCTTTGTTGTGTCACAGACTAAACTGCTCCCTCCGCCCTGAAAATATGTGCTGTCATCCTAACCTCTAAACCCTTGGTTGTCACCCAGTTTGGGATGGGTGGTCTCTGTTATGTTAATGAGGCAAGATTAGTGTAGGGTGAATAGAGTCAATCTCTTACAAGATATAAAAGAGATTAAACAAGCAAGTGAGCAAGCACAGAAGGGAGGAGATGCCAAGCCACATCAAGATCTCCCAGGGCAGAAGCTCAAAAAAAACCAGAACAAAAAATCAAATCATTGTGAATGAGGGGGAGTGCAGACTGGGAACCCAAGACCCATCTGTAGGCAACTGGACATCCCCTATCAGAAGGGTCTCGGGGAGGAGACGAGCCAGTCAGGGAAGAGACGATAGCAATAATGAAACATATAATTTTCCTCTAGTTCCTAAATGCTTCCTCCCCCCACCCCACCCTTATCATGATCCCAATTCTACCTTACAAATCCGACTAGACCAGAGGATGTACACTGGTACAGATAGGAACTGTTAACAGGGAATCCAGGACAGATCATCCCTTCAAGACCAGTGCTGAGAGTGATGATATTGGGAGGGTAGAGGGAGAATGGGGTGGAAAGGGGGAACCGATTACAAGGATCTATATACAACCTCTTCCCTGAGGGATGTAGAACAGAAAAGTTGGTGAAGGGAGACTACAGACAGTGTAAGATACGATAAAATAATAATTATCTATAAATTATCAAGGGTTCAAGAGGAAGGGGGGAGCGGGGAAAGGGGGAAAAATGAGGAGCTGATCCAAGGGCTCAAGCAGAAAGCATATGTTTTGAGAATGATGATGGCAACAGATGTACAAATGTGCTTGACACAATGGATGAATGTATGGATTGTGATAAGCGTTGTATGAACCCCCAATAAATGATTAAAAAAAACTTGGGGGGGGGGAAGAAATGTGTGTTGAAAGCTTAAGATATATCACTCCATCTGCTGGATAGTGAGATGTGAAGGAGAATAAAATGTAGCCTTGGCCTCAAGGATTTAGTCTAGGGAGGGAAGAATAAACATCTGAAGATGCAAGTATGCATAGGTTCCTTGGGACACCTGAATAAAATGACCCTGCGGAGAAAAGACAAACAAAACACAAGGACCTTCCTTCAGAGCCAAAAGAAAGAGCACCCCTAGAGCTAGCACTCCTTACTGACTTCAAGTTCCCCAAACTGGGAGAAAATACCTTTTTTTGGTTAAAGCCACCCATTTGTGGTATTTTTGTTCCAGCAGCACCACACAGCTAAAACGCCACGCTATGCCAAAACGTTTCTGGTAGCAAGAATAGGGTACTATTCTAATGGATAAATAAAATGTAGAAGTGGTTTTAGAACTTTTTAATGGATAGAGGCTGGAAGAGCTTTAAAAGAACTAACATTAATGTGCTTCACACAACTGATGTATGTATGGATTGTGATGAGTTGTATGAGCCCCTAATAAAACGATTTTAAAAAGGCCCTGCAAAAAAAAAAACAACTAATATTAAAAGCCTAGATTGTTTCT